CGAGACCCCGTCTCTACTAAAAATACAAAGAAATTGGCTGGACAACTAAAAATATATAGAAAAAATTAGCCGGGTGTGGTAGCACATGCCTGTAGTCCCAGCTACTTGGGAGGCTGAGGCAGGAGGATCGCTTGAGCCCAGGAGTTTGAGGTTGCTGTGAGCTAGGATGACGCCACGGCACTCTAGCCCGGGCAACACAGTGAGACTCTGTCTCAAAAAAAAAAAAAAAAAAAAAAAAGATCATCCCTAAGCAATTAAATCACTCCAGTCTTCTATACTATTTCTGCACCTTGTGCATATTTCAATCACACATGTATCAACTGGTATTGCATGTATTATTTGCTCACAGTTTTATTATACTGACTTCTGTTGGTTCATAACACTCCATGAGGGTAGGGACTAGATAGATTTCCACATAGAGCCTGGTTAAGCATTATCATTAAATAAGTTTATGACAGACTACAAAATCTACATCTCTAACCCATCCAGCATTCTTAGCTGCCTGATCTCATCTTCATTAATATATCCCCAAATGAAATAAAACTGTAATTCCTTCCCCTAAGACTCACCGGAAGAGAGGCAGTTAAGTTTACAAATGCTATCTTTTAATCTAGTATTACATTAATTCTCTTCTCTCCTTTATTATTTGCACTTTCCTTCTTCAAAAGTGCAAACAAGTGCAAATAAAGACCTTCCTTCTTCAGGTCTTTAACCTCAGACTGTTAAAAGAGCCTCTAACTCATCAATCATGAAACCATTGTGCTAAGTGAAACAAACCAGTCAAAAAGACCACATATGATATGATTCCATTCATAAAAAGTCCAGGATATGAAAATCTATAGAAACAGAAATTAGATTAGCAGTTGCTTAGACTTGGGGGCAGATGGGATAGGGAAACGGGCAGGGAGTGATTGCTAAATAGAGCATTTCTTTTCGAGGTGATAAAAATGTTGGAAAACTGTGGTGATGGTTGTGCATCTATGAATATACTAAAAACCATTAAATTATACACATTAAATGGGCAACCTGTGGCATGTGAATTATATCTCAATAAAGCTGTTTTTAAAAAATAACCAGGTATATAACAAAAATTTCAGACTTTTTTTTAAAGGTTCTGTGAACTAATCCACTGAAAAAAGTGCTTAAAAGTCAAGGACTTTAAGTATAGGGTCATATCATTTAAGTAAAAAAAACAGTATTCATAAATAATTTAAAGCCTTACCTCTCAGGTAACATAAAAGAACAAGCTTTGGCCAGATTCTTTCCCTTCTCATTCCCTTCCCTGCCCCCAGCCCAGACCACTTCCTTGTTTGATAGTCACAATAGAAACATACAGTCGGGGTTTGAAATACGTTTTATTTACTGAATATAGCTTTATATGACTGCTATTAATTTTGAAAGGAAAAGAGTTGAATGTTGAGATAAAAATGTATACACACAAGAAGAAAAATGTTCAATATCACTGATCATCAGGGAAATGCAAATCAAAACCACAATGAGATACCATCTCATGCAAGTTAGAATGGCTATTATCAAGAAGACAAAAAATAACAAATGCTGGCAAAGATGTGGAAAAAGTGGAACTCTTACATGCTGTTGATGGGAATGGAATTAACGCAGAAATTATAGAAAACAGTATGGAGGTTCCTCAAAAAACTAAAAATAGAACTACCATATGATCCAGCAATTCCACTATTGGGTACATATCCAAAGGGAATCAGGATACTTAAGATATCTGCACTTCCACGTTTATTGCAGCAATATTCACAATAGCCAAGATATGGAATTAACTAAGTGTCCCTCAACAGTTGAATGGATAAAGAAAATGTGGTATACATACACAATGGAATACTATTCAGCCATAAAAAAAGAATGAAATCCTGTCATTAGTGGCAACATGGCTGAGCTGGGAGGACATTATGTTAAGTGAAATATGCCAGGCACAGAAAGACAAATCTTACATGTTCTCACTCATATACTGAAGCTTAAAAAATTGATCTAATATTAGTAGAGAGTAGAATAGTGATTACCAGAGGCTGGGAAGGGTCGGGGGAGGTGAGTGGATACAAAATTAAAGGTAGATAGGAGAAATAAGTTCTAGTGTTCTGGAACACCTTAGGGTGACTATAATTAACAACAATTTATTTTATATTTTCAAATAGTTAGATAAGCAGACTTTGAATGCCCCCAACACAAAGAAATGATAAATGTTTGAGGTGATGGATAAGCTAATTACCCTGATTTGATCATTACACATTGTAAACATGTATGGAAATATCACACTGTACCTCATAAATATGTACATGTGATAAAAAAAAGCAAAAAAAGTTAGACATAAGCATGCAGGTATACTAATGCCTAGGCATTTCAAGCTTAACAATTATGCCACTGAAACATTTATAATTTGATTTTCACTTAGATATATTTTAATGGATCCCCCCCCAATAAATTGCCCCCCACACAGAAAAAGTTTCTATGTGAATAATAAAATAAACTCTGGCTTACTTTTGAAATTAAACATTCATTTGTATGTCTTCTTTCAATTTATAGTTTAGGTAATAACTATTTTTCTAGATAATAACTATTTAAGACAGGTGACCTACAACAGAATCACCTAGGGCTTGCAGCTCAGTGTTGTCTATGGACCACAAGCACTGTCCTCAGGAGAGCTTGTTAAAAATGCAGAATATTGGCTGGGCGCAGTAGTTCATGCCTGTAATCCTAGCATTCCTGGAGGCTGAGATTAGAGGACTGCTTGAGCCCAGGAGTTCAAAACCAGCCTGGGCAAGGATGAGACCCTGTCTCTACAAAAAATAAAAAAAAAAATTAGCTGGGTATGGTGGTGTACCCCTGTAGTCCCACCTACTCAGGAGGCTGAGGCAAGAGGATTGTTTGAGCCCAGGAGTTTGAGATTGCAGTGAACTATGATGATGCCACTGTACTCTAGGCCAGGTGGCAGACGGAGACCCTGTCTCAAGAAAAATTAATAAATAAAAAATAAGCACGTAGATTCCAGTGACACACAGGCATCTGCATTTTAAAGATGAATACTGCCGATTCTCCTGCACACTAAAGTTTCAGAAGCACTGTTTAAAGGAAAAGTAGAGTACTGAAAGAGCATTTTTTTAGAGTTTTGGTATACTAGAAAATACTCTTATATACCCTTCCCCAGTTTGAAAAGAAAAAACATTTTGAATTTACAAATCTCACAGCCATACCACCTTCTTAAAATTAATAACCAGAATGACTGCATGAAATAAGGGGTTTAGAAGAACAACCAAAAACAACTGTATTTACATCTTTCACAGTACATTAACCAAGATAAATTTAAAGTACTCATAATAACCTTTTACTGTAAAAAGGTCAAACACCATATTTTATTAAAAGTTCCATCCACATGGAAAATACAGATTATAGCTCCTTTTACTCAACTCTAGATGACCTGGATTAAACAGAATGCTTAGTGTTCACAGCATTCTAGTTCACACTAGGGTCAATCAAGTTTGCTCCGATTCTTGCTGGCAGAAAACCTGTTACCCCCAAAGGGAATACAGGTCTTAGGATCCTGCAGACACTAACTTTCAACACGTTATGGTACAGTACGTATAAAGGGATAAAAGGATAGTAACCTCCCGAAAATATACTGAAAAATAATTTTTACTACTTTTGAGGACGTGCTTATTTTGACAATCCAACAAACATTTACTAAACGCAGATGTTAAAGATTTTGTGAGAAACACAAATATGATCAAAACACTAGCCCCAGGAAGCCTATAACCTGAGGGGTGGTGAGGTTTGGCTGGGACGCTGTACGTGCAATTAGTAGAATATGGTCAGTGTGCTGAAAATGGTACCCAAAGTTCCCAGTTTCAGGTAACTGAATTTCAGATAATGGATATTTTACAGTAATTTCTAATTGATTTGGTGCAGAGTTGAACAAGCTACGAAAGCTTATTAAAAAGTACTTTATAAGGAAGTACAGCCTGAGGTAAACAAACCTCTGGGAAACTTGCTACATTTTTAATACACCTAAACACACTTGAAATTAGAGTATGAGGTGTGTGTGCTCTCATCAAATGCAAAGCAATTCAAATATGAACTGGATATAGGAGGACCCAATAAAGTTATGTTCATAGAGGGTGTTTCCTTTGACAAAAACAGGAACACTCAGCTTCAGAGATCGCTGACCATGCAAGAAAAGAGGAAAAAGGAGAGATCTGCTTCTATTTCTACCCTGGTAACTAACTTAGACACACAGACACACACACACACACACACACACACACACACACACACAAGCAGTTTCCTGGACTACTCCCTACTTCGACTTTGTATTTCAGAAACACTATGACCCCTAAAAAGTCTAGGAACGAAAGACAGTCCAACCAGGCAAATGTATTTAGCTACTTAACAGTTCAAAACAGAAGCACCTCCCTCAAGAGGAACTAGCCGTCGGCGACGGGCCATGACCGGGAAAAGTGCACTCACGGCTCCGTGCAGACGGTCTCCTCACCCCAGCCGCTCAGCGCTCACTTCACCGCTCTCCCCTTTCAGGGGCACACCCTCCCACGGGAAGGGGAAAGCAAGTACCTCCCCAGAGGAGCCACGAAGCCCCAGGGGAGGGCGGTGGAGGTTTACCGCGATCCAAGGCAAGATCTTCCCTAGACTGGAAGAAGAGGTGCAGCACAAACGGAGGAAGGCCAGCTAAGCAGGGAAAGGGCGCTGCGATGCTCCGTCTGGTCCCGGCCCCTCAGAGAATTAGGTCGGCCCCCCCCGCCCCGGGCCCGCAGGCTGTTCTCTTCAGGAGGCCTTGCCGCCCAGGCCAAGCCCTAACCCACTGACAGGCACCCGAGGTGCGTCCCGCGTCACAGGTGTCACTCCGAGCAGGTCCTTGCAAACCCGGGGGGTGGGGAGGGGACGAGTCGGGGCAGGGGAAAGGCACCTAAAGATGAGACGCGCGGCAGCGGCGCAGCGCAGTACCCACAGCGACGCGGTCTCACCTCTAGGGTGGAGACAGTGCTGGTGAATAGGTCCTCTCCGTCCTCCAGCTCCTCAAAGTCGGTGGGCTTCCCGTCCCCCAGCGGAGGAGGCTCCCTCTCGGCCGCCATCTTCGCTCGCCCTGACGATTGCGCGAGCTGGGCTTCGCGGACCTGTCACGTGAGCACGCACGGCTGGGCTGGCGCGCGGACCCTCCGACGCCCCGCCTCCCCGGCCAGCCCCCGAGGCCCCGCCCACCGTCCTCGGTCCCGCCCCCGGCCTCGTGATCGCCCCTCCTCTCATCTCCACGTCTGGGGCCCCGCCTCCTTTTGACCGCCGCCTGCGTGACCTGACGTGTGGAAGAATCTTGGACGTTTATTACCACGTCAACTTCTTAGCAGGACTAGGTCAAATATTTACGTTGGCTCTGCCAGTTTTAAAATCTTCTTTAGGAAGTGGAAGTAGCTTGGGGACCAGTCTTTGGCCTTGATTACACACACACTGAGGGCAAGATTGAATATTGATGAAAGAGACACATACCCTTTCTTCTAGAACAGTCCAATAGAACTTTCTGACATGACCGAAATGTACTGTCCTGTCCAATGCAGTAGCCTCTGGCCACCTGTGACTGGTGAGCACTTGAAATGTGACTAGTGTGAGGAACAGAATGTTTAATTGTATTTAATGTTAATTAGTTTAAATCTCAATGGCCACATGTGGCCAGTGGCTACCTATTAGGCATTGCAACTCTAGATAACAAAAGGACCCTAATAATTTGTTGTCTGTGGTTTACTCCAATTCCATCATGAGCCACACAATTTTTTCCTCAATAAAGGGTCAAAAAGGCTGGAAAGATGGCAGGAAAATCAATGGTTGGTAAGAGCACCGTACTCACATTCCCTGGCCTGCACTCCACCACCTATGGACAGTCTGGAGGCTGTCATGGGTCAGAAACTTCAACCTCTTAAAGCTCACAACCTGGCTTGAGGTGATTCTTCCCTATATCCTTAATTTTTACCTGTGCCTTTGTTTATTGCTCACTACATCTGTCTTGTGCTATGGTCATTTATATTCCCAGCTTATCTTTTAGTGCATATCTGATTTAGTTGAAATATAGGTGCTGCTGCTTATAACAGAGACCCATGTTAAAAGTGGCTTGGAAAATGGGCAAGTTTAATGGTGCCTAATGTAGGACCAGGGCTGGTATGAAGGAAGAGTCCGTGAGATCATCCAGGGGTACAGGCTCCTTCTGTTCTGCCCTCCCTGAGATGTAATCTCTTCCCCATGGTTCAACTTGGCTCACACCCCTAATTACACCACATTCCACCTGGCAGAAAAGGAGTAAAAAGGAAACAGGATGATATTGCCTTTCTTTTTAAGGGCACATTCCAGAAGTTACACATATCCCTTCTGTTCATATCCTCTTGACCAGCTTATTAGTTACTTTGCCATCTCTAGCTATAAGAGAGACTAGGAAATGCAGTTATTATTTCCTCCCTAAAAATTCAGGATTAATTTACCCTAGAAGAATGTAGGCATTCTTTTTTGTTTGTTTGTTTGTTTTGAGACAGAGTCTCACTCTTTTGCCCGGGCTAGAGTGAGTGCCGTGGTGTCATCCTAGCTCAAAGCAACCTCAAACTCCTGGGCTCAAGCGATCCTTCTGCCTCAGCCTCCCGAGTAGCTGGAACTACAGGCATGTGCCACCATGCCCGGCTAATTTTTTCTATATATTTTTAGTTGTCTGATTAATTTCTTTCTATTTTTAGTAGAGACAGGGTCTCGCTCTTGCTCAGGCTGGTTTTGAACTCCTGAGCTCAAACAATCCACCCGCCTCAGCCTCCCAGAGTGCTAGGATTACAGGCATGAGCCACCGCGCCCGGCCTAGAACGTAGGCATTCTTAAACTGGATTTCCTTCTGGGTAACCATCCCTCTCCCAACCTCAGCTGTGAGTTTTCTCCAACTCATCAACAGAGGGCACAGCCTAGGCTTAAACCAAGTAACATTGACTCCTTTAGTCCCAGTGATTGGTAGGAGGTCAGAATCAGCTGCATTTTCCCTAAATTCTCAACAGCTCTGGCTGTCTTTCTTTTCTTATTCAGCCTAAATTCTGCGAGCGAGGACTGCAAGAATTGTCTTATTATTTTTGTCAGCTCTCCCGTCTTCCTGGGTTTCTTTTTTTTCTGTTTTTATTTTATTTAAAATCTCAAATTCAGCCACAGCTTCTCTAATCTTATATCCATATTGCTAAAAGCATTTGAAAAATAAAGCCCAACCCCAGATTGAAGATCGTATACAACTGTGATCTCAAATCTCAACTACACACTGTCTAGATACCATCATTTGTTTCCTTTCTAACTTCTTGAACTCTTCTTCCCAGAAGAGGTTCTAAAAATTCATTCTGTCTCCTACTACCTTTTTCTTCTCATTTTCATCAAATGATTTAGCCTCCTTGTCCAATGATAAAATAAAATCCACCGAGTAAATCCTTCAACTTTCAGGTATGACTGAAATTCTCTTCTTTTTGTCTCCAATCAGTTGCTGTGTACATTTTTATAACACCTATCATATACTGTGATACTGTGATCATGGTCACTTTTCTATCATCCCTAATGAACTAGACGATCATTGATCTCAGGTACCATTTCTTATTTGACTTTGGATCAGGAATAGCCCTGTATTAGTTATCTATAGCTGTAAAACAAATCACACAAAAACTTAGCAGCATAAAACCATAAATATTTATCTTATGGTTTCTGTGAATCAAGAATCCAGTTGCGGCCGGGCGTGGTGGCTCACGCCTGTAATCCTAGCACTCTGGAAGACAGAGGTGGGTGGATCCTTTGAGCTCAGGAGTTCAAGACCAGCCTGAGCAAGAGCGAGACCCCGTCTCTAAGCCAAAAATAGAAAGAAATTAATCAGACAGCTAAAAAAATATACAGAAAAAAAAAATTAGCTGCGCATGGCGGCGCGTGCCTGTAGTCCCAGCTACTTGGGAGGCTGAGGCAGGAGGATCACTTGAGCCCAGGAGTCTGAGGTTGCTGTGAGCTAGGCTGACGCCACGGCAGTCACTCTAGCCAGGGCAACAGAGTGAGACTCTGTCTCAAAAAAAAAAAAAAAGAATCCAGTTGCAACTTAGCTGGGTGCCTCTGATCCAGAGTCTCGCACAAGGCTGCAATCAAGGTATCAATTAGGGCTGCAATCATCTCGAGACTTAGCTGCAGAGGACCTGCTTCCAAACTCACCCATGTGGCTGGTGGCAGGACTCAAGTTCTTGCTGACTATAGGCTGGAGACCTGAGTTCCTTGCCACACAGGCCTCACCATAAGGCTGCTCACACAACATGTCCCAGAGCAAAGACTTTTTGAGAAAGACAGAAAGAGACAGCTCCAAGAGAAGACAAGAGAGAGTAAGAAAGAAGCCAGAGTCTTTTTGTAACCTAATCTCAGAAGTAACGTCTCATCACGTATGCTGTATTCTATTCATTGGATGCCCACACTCAAAGGGAGGGGTAAAACAAAGGTATGAATAATAGGAGGCAGGGTTCTTGGGGGACATTTTAGAAGTTGCCACAAGGCCCCATAGTGTTTAGCACTCAGTAAAATAGACACCCTATTACTACCCTCAGTGAATGAGTGAATGAATGAATGAAGCTCAGAAGAGAGGCTAAGTGTAAGATAAAGATTTGGAAGTTGAAGCCACTGGTACGTGAGGGGGGTCAGGTAGTCTGGGAAGTACAACCCTGAGGATCATTCAAGAAGCAGGGAAAGGAGGAGGTGCCATAAAGAATCCTAAAACACAGCAGTCAGAGAGATAGGAAGCAATCTACAAGAGAAGGCTATAAAGAAAGCAAAAAGACAAAGAAAAAAGCATTTGCAGTATCAAATGCCTTGGGTAGATTAATAAGATAACATCTGAAAAGGGTAGATTGCTAATAGCTACAAAAAATGGATATGGCAAGTTGTGTTGGTTAATTTTATGTATCTACTTGGCTAGGCCATGGTGCCCAGATGTTTGGTCAAACATTATTCTGGAGGTTTCTGTGAAGATTTTTTTGGATAATATTAACACTGAAATTGGTAAACTTTAAGTAAACCAGATTACCCTCCCTAATGTGATGGGTGTCATCTAATTAATTAAAGGCCATAATAGAACAAAGATCGACCTCTTTTGAGCAAGAAAAAATTTTATCAGCAAGCTGGGTATGGTGGCTCACACCTGCAATCCTAACACTTTGGGAAGCAGGATGGCTTGAGCCTAGGAGTTTGAGACCAGCCGGTGCAAGAGCTAGACTCCGTCTCTACAAAAAATAGATATTCTGTTGGTTCTGCTTCTCTGGAGAACCCTAACAAATACACAAATATAGATTATCTTTTCAAGGCATAAAATGAAAAAAAAAATGACAAATAGGTAAATAACTTGCCGAAGACACAGGTTTTGTGTGTGTTTTATCTTAATGGGAGAGGTTTGAACATGTTTATATATAAGGGAAAGAGGTCAAAAGAGAGCAAGAGGTTGAAAATACTATATAGAGAGAAGTAATCAAAGGGATGAGATCTGAAATACAGGAATGGGATAAAGAGCAAGTAGAGGAATTTGCTTTAAAAAAGAGACGGAACAGCTACTCTAGAGGCTGAGGTAGGAGGATTGTTTGAGGCCAGGAGTTCAAGACCCACCTCAGCAGGCAGCATAACAAAACCTCGTTTCTTAAAAAAAAAAAGAGAGAGAGAGAGAGAGAGAAGGGATACATCTTCCTCTGAGAGTACAGAGATGAGAGTGAGAGTCTGTGTTAGTTGGCTATCATTACATGACAAACCATTCCAAAACTTAGTGGTTGGAAACAATCATTTATTGTTTCTCATGAGTCTGCAAGTTAGCTAGACAGTTCTGCTGGACCAGATTTGGCAGATCTTGTCTTAGGCTTGTTCATGCACTGTGGTCAGCTGACGGATTGGCGGGGTGCTGGTCTTAGCTAGGACAATTCATCTCTGCTCCATGTGCTCTTATCTTCCAGCAGGCCAGCGTGGGCTTCTGTGCAAGGCCCTGGCAGGCTTCCAAATAGAAGGTGGAGACATACAAGTACTTCTTCAAGCCTCCACAAAAGGAAGTTACATGGCCAAGCCCAGGGTCAGAATGGGAAGAGGCTACAAAATTTCAGGGCAGACGGAATGGAAAAGGGAGGACATTAATGCAATCAGTTTACCCCAAGTGGATGTATTTATAGACTTGTTTGTAAATATTGT